GGATTAGAGTCAGGTATATGATTAACTAAGCAGGTGCTAATGATAATCTATTTCATATGTAGGTTGTAACACAGTCATTAACTGAAACTACAAACAGCTGTGTAGGAGCCTTAAAACTGGGTGAGGAACAGCCAAGCTCTGCTACTAAGATGAGGTTGTGGAAGACAGTTTCATGTCACAGGTCATACACCATGGCAAAACAGCACAGCAACAAGACATAAGGTAGTTAGACTGCATCAGCAAGGTCTCTCCCAGGCAAGCATTTCAAAACAGACTAGGCTTTCAATATGTGCTGTTCAAGCTCTTTTGAAGAAGCACAAAGAAATGGGAAATGTTGAAGACCACAGACACAGTGGTTGGCCAAGGAAACAATGCAGCAAATGAAAGACACATCATGCTTACTTCCCTTTGACATTGGAAGATGTCCAGCAGTACTATCAGCACAGAACTGGTGGAAACCAGGCACACCCATCTACTATCCTGAGGAGTTTGGCCAGAAGTGGTCTTCGTGGAAGAATTGTGGCCAAAAAGCCATACCTCTGATGTGGAAACAAGGCTAAGTGACTCAACTATACATGAAAACATAGGAACTGGGGTACAGAAAAATGGCAGCAGGTGCTCTGGATTAATGAGTCAAAATTTGAAATATTTGGCTGTAGCAGGAGGCAGTTCACCAAAGGGCTGGAGAGTGGCATGGTGGAGGTTCCTTGCAAGTTTGGGGCTGCATTTCTGCAAACGGAGCTGGAGATTTGGTCAGGATCAATGGTGTCCTCAATGCTGAAATACAGGCAGATAACTATCCATCATGCCATACCATCAGGGAGGTGTGTGACTGGGCCCAAATTGATTCTGCAGCAGGACAACAACCCCAAACATACAGCCTGTCATTAAGAACTATCTTAATGTCATTAAGAACTATCTTCAGTGTCAAGAAGAACAAGGAGTCCTGGAAATTATGGTTTGGCCCCCACAGAGACCTGATCTCAACATCATCGAGTCTGTCTGGG